TCTATGTCAAACGCGGCTTTTCTGAGAAAAGTTCAACGCCCCGACATTTGAAAACGAAAGCGACGAGTTTCTGTTTTGTTGTCTTATTATGTTATGTGTTTTTTTTTTTGGTTTAAATATGCAAAAATATTTTTCATGTGTCTGCTACGCAGAATTTTTTATTTCCATATGAAATTACAGCAGCCACAAAATGGCAGCAAAACTACAAACACTTTATGCCTGCGGCTGCTTTCAAAAATTGTTTTTCGTTTTCATGGTCTGTTAAAGTTGGGCGCTGAGCAGCGAAAATTATAAAAAATAGTTTGGCAAATTTATGGAATGAAGAAATTTTTGAAAACATGTTTTGGTCAAATGGAATATGGTTGTGAAAAACTATAATAAGAAATTTGAGACCAATTGGCAGGGAATTTATAAATTGAATTTACATCCGTAAATTAAAATAAAACCAAAGTTTAAAGAAATATTGAATGAAACAAATTTTTTTATAAGTCTATTGGCAAATTGAAATGTCTTTCAGGAATTTTGGAACTCTAATGTTAATAGAGGGAATTGTTTAATCATTAATCACATAAAATCCCTCCATCTGAAGTTAAAAATTCAACAATAATTGTTAAAAAAAAAAAAAAAAAGAGTTCCAAAGCCCCGAAATCCAGAATTTATTCAACCATATAAGCCCCCATGTAATATCAACCAGACTTATCGCACACTTATGTACGTCCAGCAAGAACCGTCGGCAAGTCTTAAGTAACCCCATTCGAAATAACCATATCAGCATAACAAATTCTCACATTTTTCGGCTTCAGCCGACGTGAAAAATGAAAAAAATATGCATAATTAGAAATGCGAGGAAAGCTGAAAAGCGATGTTAGCTGAGCGTACTTCCTGGTTCAATATGATACTCGAAAGATACTCCCTTCTGCGATTCCCTCACGCGGGGCAAAACTGAAAACAATGGGAATAAAGCAACATCAACAATATCACGCACTAGTCATTAGCTCGTCGGGATAAACAAACATATTTACTTGCAGGCAAGAAATGCAACACGTGCTGTGCATAAATAATAAAAATAAAAACCGGGGAGAGACCAAAAGTTTTTCCAGCTGAGTTGGTCAGTTCTAATGGTGTGTTATTGACCCCGCGTTTTCGAGCAGAGAAATTAGTATAGATTATGCATGCTTGAAAGCCGAACCGCAGAAAGACAGAGACATTCGTTTGTTCGGGGCCATCCCGAATGAATTAGAAGTGGTGCCAAGTGGAGCCCAACCACTTGTTTCTGTCAGCCTCAAAACTTCAGCTCCGGACAGAAATTTCTTAATTTCAGAGCTCAGTTGGCGGTTCAGTTTGCGGCTTTTTTTTTTTTTTTTGCATAATGTGTGTGATAAGCTTGGGGGATTTTCTGCTGCTCTGGCACAGATATTTCAACTTCTTTTGATGGCGCGGAGATACTTTCGCAAGCGGATGTGGCAGATACTTAAAACGGTATTCAAACTACACGCCAAGTTTATAAATACTCTCCACAAATCCCTTGTAACGCACAGCAATTGCAATGAATAAATCTGGTACGCTTTGAAGTCCGTCCCCCCAGTCAACAAAAATATCAAATTGAAGTCATTAAACCTGTAATTAAAATTCGTGTTTCAGTTCATTAACTTCTCGTTGCACAGCTGCCAAAAAGGAATTAGCGAAACCGATTTAAATAAATTTTGTATTGAAGCGCGGTTAGAGGAAATCCAAGGTTAGCTAAAATGTACTCAGGTAGTTCTCTACTCTGAGTTTTCGAGAAGTGTGACCCATATTGCCTCATTCCTCGGTCGTCTGATCTTTCTTAAGTTTATATATAGCAAATGTCCGACTATAATTAGATGGAACTCACTTCACCCACTTTCGAGTGCACTTTAGTTTCGCCGCTGTCTAGATCTTCCGCATAACTCTTGGTTTTGTGTTCGATTTCCCAAGTTGTCTAAATTGTTTTCTTACCTTTGGACTAGATATAATTGCATTAGCCATCCTTTATATACACGCCGAGTGATTCATTCGGACATATTTATGTGACACAAGTGGAACATCTTCGATCAGTATTATAGACAGGCTATTTTCGGGAAACATTCATAACCAGAAGTTGGTCACATATTCCCTCCTCCTTTCCCGAAATTAATGAGCTTGTTAATCGAGCGACAGAACTGAAAACAAAAAGTGACGTACACTCAAATAAAATTTAAGCCTTTATTTACTGAATATGAAAGCAAGACTTTTACTTTCAAAATTAGAAATTATTATTATGGAAAAATATTATTTAAATATATAACAAATTTAAACCTAACAAAATTTAACTCTACAATTTATAAAGCAACAAGTGTATTTCTTAATTCAGAAGTAATGTATTTTTAAGTGCATGTTTGTATTTTTCCGCTCCAGCTTTTTGGAGGATGAATGTATGAACCGCCTTCACCTGAAGAGTTTTCTCCTGCCCACTTAATTGAATTGTGTATTTTCGGCCTTAATTAAAAAGCCCAGAGGCGGGGTAAAAGTTCATTGACTGCTCGGATATGTAATACACTTTTAATGATCATGATTTGGGGGAACCTAGAAAAATCAATTTAGTTTCCATTTGCTGTTTACTTAATTGAAATTTAGCCTAGGGCCTAGGGACTAACTAAAGGGATTTCTTTAAGAAGACCGCCTCTATTCCCCAACCATGTAAAATACACTCTTGGGAATTATTCACCCCATTCATTAGGTTCTCTTAAGTTTTGTAGCTGCTCTTGCGCCCATTTGGGGAGCTTCTTGATGAAGCTTTTTAGTCGCCTTCGAATCGATCTTTACGGAAAGTTTTTCCTTAGCCATAATCAGTCTAGAAAGCGCGCGTGTTCGTAACGGATCGGATCGGAACGGATTCTACCCCCATATACCTCGATCTATATCGCGCGAATTTGTATTTTCCTCCCAGTTTGTACTTTTGATGCCTGTTTTATTTTTAAGTTTCTCAAATATTTCTCGTTTTGCCCGTCTTTTTTGGGGATTTGCCATTTGAGTTTGGGGAATCTCGTTCGGTTTCGCAGCTGGAGTTGCGTGTGCTTATTTATAGTTTCCCCAGAGATACAATCGCACGTTTGATATGTGTTTCTATTGTTGTTTGCTCGGCTTACGCCATTGCGTATGAGTGATTTGTGTTGGCCATCTTACTCAGCCATATATGATTTTTTGTAGTTTTTACTGGCACATTGCCCGACATTACGCAGCTGTTTAGGAGACCGTAAATTCTCAAGTAAAAATTCTCATGTAATTTGCATAAATATAGTCTAAATCAAAAAATTATAATGAGTCTCTAAAAACCGATTGTGAGTCACGTCGTCAAACGAAAAAATGTTTGTTGGGGAAGTCTTGCATAAATTTCCAACCGTAAATCAAAGATGACAAGTGAGGGAATGGTGACCACAAAATGAGACATGTGTTCTAGGAAGTTTTCAAAATTCTGTGAAAAAGTTCTTAAGATTTTTTTACGAGACTTTGAATTGTTATGGTAGACAATGTTGTAACTCTGAAAATTTGTTGGTGTTTTTGAAAGACAAGATATTTATTGTTATGCGATTGATTTCAAGATCCATTTCAGATAAAGTATATGATAATAGAGCTTGTTATGAAGTGAGGAAATAAAAGTTAAAGTACGATTGACAAAAATTATGCGATTGATCCATTTTGACAATATCTGTAAAGATCGTTCAATATTCCATAACTTCCAGATGGAGTGGATTATAATAGTGCTAATAAGCCAATGTTTCCATGACAATTTGAAGTGATCCTCTTTTTTTGTTACAGATGGCAACCATATCGAATATCATTCGACACGAGCATAATCTCTTTATACTTGTGTTTCCCATAATTTGTTGTTTACCACTTGGTAAGGGAAACAAGTGTAACCCTTTTGTTTTTTTTTCCCGAGGTCTTTTGCCGTCATCCTTAGCTATTTCGAATGGCGTCAGCAACGGAAATGATGCGTCCAGATCCCACACGCCGCCTGGTGCCCCAAAAATCGAACCAATTGCAGAGCTTTTTGTATAAACAAATATTATATATGCCCCTTCCCATCAAATTTCACACGCAATTTGGTTTATTTTCGTTTAATATCCTACAAAAAAGAAACAAATTGAAAACCGGAATGGAAACTGTGTGGAGGGCCGTTAAATAAATTAAATTAATTAGTTTCAGCATTTGTTTGCGGGGTCTTTCAATTGGCAAATGAGAACTTCAGATAAGATTAAATAGTTTTTCTTGCGCCTGTAAGTGTTAAAAGCTTTGATGGATCATGAGTAAATTTGCTCAATTGCTTCCAAGAATTTAACAATACATTATGCATTATGTATGAACACACTGATAAGAGGTTTATCTGGATAGCTGGTAGTTTCTATACGGTTTGCTAAGTACTCTACTAAATACCTAATTTGTTATGATAATGAGCTGCTTCCGCTCTGAATTCACTAAAAAAGTACCTTCAAGTACCGCGTGGGAGCTGTATGCTAATTTTTGCACAAAAAAAAATCAGAAACAGCCACTTGACAGGTTGACAGAGATTAAAGTTAGATGTTTCTCACACTCAAAAATAAAAAAACATTGCTCTTTTAATTGTATGTTAAATTGTCTAAAGTTTTTTCATTTACTTTTATTAAAAATGTTTACGAAAACTTCTTGATATTTTTTTTTTCAAAGCTTAGAGACCAACGACCCTGAATCAGATGGAGTTATATTTCTAGTTGTCATGTAAATGCAAGCGACGTGAGGTCGTAAAAACGGCAAAAACCTTTTAGATAGCCGCGAAGATCGTTAAAGGCTGACTGAGTTTGCTTATCTTTGAGGTCTTTGGGCCAAGTTAACGCAAGTTGGCACTACGTAATCTTATCATCGTTGAGGTTCCGCGAGTTGCGGGCAAATAAAACATATATTTATCTTGATTGCCTTTAAAAAAATTAACTAAATACTCCATTTTCTTCTCGATTTATTTACAGACTGTTCAGACCACTTGGCGGCCACAATTGCCGTTGCCCAGGGAGCTTCAACTGACCAATGACCGGAACAGTGCCGACGATCACGACTCGAAGGTGATCACAACCACCACGACCACAGCGGACATCCACCACCACAACCAGGATCACCAGGAGGAGGAGGAGGAGGAGGACATGGATCGGCTGAGGGGCAATCACAGCATCGGAGGATCCTCACAACAGCTTTCCGGCAAACAGAAATGGTCCTTCGGCAGGCTCTTCCGCAAGAAGAAGGATGCTGAGAGTGCCTCGTCCAGCGAGGAGGATCGCAAGGCGGGATTTGTGCCCGCCCAGCGGCAGTCAGCCGGCAAACCAAAGGGAAAACATGTCAAGAATTCACGGGGTAGCAGCAAATTCGATCATGTGGTAGTGAGTCCGCGACAAGAGCAGGCTCCACCACATCCTCCTCAACCGCAAATCGACAACGAATTCTTCCTGCCGCTGGAGAACATACAACCGGAACCCTATTACCAAAACCAACCGGGCTACTATCAGCGCTCTAGTAACTCCCTGGACAGGAGATTACTCCTGCAGCAGCCTCCTGGAGTTCAGGGTAATGGTTACCAGCAGCAGCATAAATCCCGTTCGGGGCAGCGGGGTCCCAAGCCACCAGGAGCTCACTCCAGCGAAGAGGAACTGATATCGCTGAACTCCTCCACGTTCTCCAAATATCGCAGCGATGAGAGCATCCATTTGGGATCCGCAGCCGGACAAAGTCGACGCAGTCGAGCGGCTCGCAATGAGCGGTACTACAAGAGATTATCCCGCGATGGCGAGCCAAGTCATGGAGGAGTCCCAGTTGTTCCCCAGCAGCAGCAGCAGCAGCGGTACAAAACTCAGCCACTGCCTTTATCCATCTACCAGCCAACGAATACCTCTAATAGCTATGTCCAGTGGCAACCGCAACCGCAGCCGCAGAAGAGCCTCCAGAATGCGATGCAGAGCGATGGAAAGCGGAGCATTAGCTACGACAGTCACATACACCTGCAGAATATGAATGGAAGGATGCAGAGTAAGCCACTGCCACCGCCACCACCACCCAGGGATCCTTTGAGGAGGGTGCATGTGGGAGGAGGTTCTGGGCAGCAGATCGGTTCCAGTTCGGGTGATCTGCGACCCGTGTCCTACGCCTTCGATCACAACAGTCGCTGTGCGTCCGATGATCGCATTTGGCAGCCACCTCACTACCAGTCGGTGCACTCGCTCAACTCCCAGCCCAGTTCTTCGATAGTCAGTGCTCCGGTGAGCCAACAGCAGCCGCATCACAGGAGATTCATAACGAGATCAGAGAGAAATGCCAATCCCGGCAAGCAATCCCTGCCCAATGGCATTGATTTCCACTACGTGGCTGATGCAACACCGCGCTCCAGGAAGCCCATTCACATGATGGATGCGGGCAGGATGGATAGTGGAGGAGCGCCCCCTTCTAGTGGAGTTCTGAGAACCTCTAAGAGTGGACTTCCCACCCCGAATCCCGCTCCCCAGCAGCCTTTGACCAAACCACGATCGTTTTCCAGCTCGCGATTGAGTGAACTGCGAACATATCCCATGCCCATGTACTCCGAGGTGCAGAAACCAAAGAGAAGTGCTCTGCCCGCGAATCCTTCACCAAATCAGGATAACATTGTGTGCGGCAGTCTGCACATTAAACCCACTCAAGACCGTGGCAACCAGAATTACGTGGAGATTCGCCATCGGGATGTGCACAAGACCAACTCAATGCCGCATCACTATCAGAGCAGGCGTTCTGGTGAGGATTTGCCCAACAAATACGAGGAGTATGTGGCGGAGAAGAGGGAGCAACATCAGCAGGCACCTGCTCCAGTCTATCCCGAACGCAAAATGAGCTCCACGCCAGCAGTGGAACCACCACCACCTGTTTACTTCCCCCGCAAGAAACCGGCCAACTTGGAGGAGGCCATCAACGAACTGGAGGCCATATACAAATCACTGGGACTTACAGAACCAGCCGAACCCAAGCCGCAACCCAAATTGGATATCAGCTCCAAGATGCGCGTGCCAACGCCCAGTGATTTTGAGAAGTTCGCTTTGGCCCATGCGGATGACTACGAGGATGAGGATTCGCCAACCGGAGAACCCGATCCAGTTAGAGATGATGTGGCCTTTAGAAACCTACAGTTGGCCAATCTGCAACATAGGTCCTCGGAGAAGCAGCCACCATTTGGCATCCCAGTGGGTCCAATTGTGCCTGCTCCGCAGTCGGATTATCTTCATGTGGAGCCAGTGAGGGTGAAGAAGAAGACTGGCTCTCCTGACATCATTAAAGATGATCTGGCTGTGCGTTCCTTGCGGAAGGATCCACCAGGACCCAAGTCCAGCTTTATTTATCCCATGCAAAAGAAGCAGCGGGCTACGCGGACCCAATCGGCCAACATATACAACCTGATCCACAGAGATGCGGCGAAACCTTCTGGTGGAGATCTCAATAGCTATATGGAGTTGACCCGGAATCTTGAGAGAGCTGGCAGCATGTCCAATCTGCAGGGTGAACATGGCGACGATACCAATGATGTACCCGCTACATTGGATCTGCTCCGTAAGCTTAAGGCGCAGGATGAGGAACTGGATTTGGCCAGAAAGCATCATCCAATACCCTTCAGGCATCCCAGTCAGGGAGGAGCTATTGCCCAACTTCCCGAGCGACTGATCAAAGAGGAGGCCCCGCGAACAGCACCTGTTCCCGCTCCCCGCAAGAGTCTTACCCCGGAGCCAATGATGGATGATGCCCTCAACAAGATTGCTCAGGATGCGCAGGCCAGCAGCATTAAACTGAGCCAGGAGCTCCATGAACTTCGGAAGGAGGCTTTGATCACAGCAGCTAGACCCAAACTAAACCCGGAACAACAAAGATTGGAGGATGAACTGCAGCAGATTGAAGCAGTCTCCGAAGCGGCCAAGCGTTGTGGCCAAATGTTGCTGGAAACTCTGCCGGATGCGGGACAGGAGGACCAGGAATCCCAAGAGAAACCCCTAAGGAAGCTACACCAAGAGGGGAAGCTCATTCGAGCCATCGACGAAGTCTCCGAGGCGGCTAATGCAGTGTGCGAAAAGATCCTGAAGGACATCGTCACCACGGAGCCACCAGTGGTGGTGCACGAGGCACTCCAGGTGAAGCAGACCATAAAGACGGGAGGTGAACAGCTGGTGATGCCGCATCTCATCAAGAAACTGGATCCCATACAATCCGACAAAATCGAGCACATAGCCCGGCGCTGCATGAGGCAGCTGAGCGAACTGGCCAACAATCCGGACTACGACAACCTGGCCACCACCTGTAATATGAGCAACAGCACCACCAAAGCAACGGCGGGTGATGCCACTCTCGTTTGTCCCGTTCCAGAGACCCAAACTCAAGGCCACGTCCAGGCCAAGCCAAGCCAGACGCTCGAGGAGATTGACAAGATCATGCAGGAGTGCGAGCGTCAGGCGAAAAGCAGCAGCTCAACCAACACCACCGATGACCAGCGCACCACCGCCCCCAGTCTGACGAGTGGGAGTGGCAGCGGCAGCAGCTTCCCACCCAATGTGAGCACCACCGCCAGTTCGTTCAGTTCGAGCAGCGACTGCCTGGCCAAGTCGTCGAGTCCCTCGCGCGCCAGTCGTCCGCTCTCGTCGAGCATCACCTCCTTCAATCCGTACTCCTCCAGCGACTACATCAAGTCGCAGAGCAGCGATTGCCATGCACCCAGCACCGATCCGATCAAGACCTTTAGCACCACCTCGTACGAGGGGCAGTCCACACCGCAGAGCACCACCATTAGCACCAATACGATGAGCACGAGTCAGAGCAATACGATCAGTAGCACCACTAATCCGAGTGTGGAGTCCAAGCCGACCACCTCATCGGGATCGCCACCGCCGTTGCAGTTGACGCCAGTGGGTGAGCGGAGGAGGAGGGGAGTCTCCTGTTCCTCCTCCACATCCTCACCATCGCAGTACAACTCCAGCGAGGAGCTGGCCGCCATTTTTGGCATCGAGGAGCAGCCGAAACAGCAGCACCATCGCAGCCGATTGACAGGTAACGGAGATGATCCCACCACCGCCATCGAGGCCCCGAGTTCGCCTGATTCCGATTCCGCCAACGCCAATGCCACTGCCAATGCCACTACTACTAATCCCGCCCAGCTCGATCCAGCTAATAGCGCTACTAATCCCGTTTTGAATGCTCAACTTGATGTTACTACTAGCATTTCCACATCCACCTCAACCACCCATCCAACCTCTAACGATAATGCTAGCACATGTAGTAGCCATAGTTATAAGCTAGAGACGATTCCGGAGCATGATCACGACGAGGAGTTGGTGGAGTCCACATTGAAGTTGTCGCCCAACTTTAATCGGATTTATGCCAGCAAAATACGCATTGTAATGGATCGCGATGAGGAGGCGAGTCTGCTGCCGGAAGGAGGAGCACATGCAGCTTTAACCCAATTCGATTCCTTGAGTTCTCTGGAGGAGACCTCCTCCAATCCGGACTCGGGGAATGTGAGTCTCACGGATTATCCCCTGGCTAGTCATGCGAATGCTTCTCTGGAACTGCAGACCATCTACAATAGTCGCTTTCAGGTTAGGGAGCATTATGTATCCGAGGTTTCTATAAGTGCTTCAGAGTCCACGGATGAAGAGCAAACGGATACCGAGTGCTCAAGAAGTGGTGATCGTATGGGGGCAGAAGATTTTCCCCCTTTACCGACAGAAGAAGAGTTAGAAGAGAGTTTGCGGGAAGAAATAGAACTTAACGAAGGTCTAAGTGCGGGAATTAAAAGGCAGAGTAGCGAAGAAACAGAGTTTACAATTGAGGAAGTTAGCTTGACGAAACAAGAATTGGTATGTGAGGTTGAAGAATTGAAACTTAACGAAACTGTCAGTCTGAGCCAAGAGGTATACAACGTGACCACTGAGAACTTGCATAGGCCGACTTTAGATGAGGTAGATGGCTTGCGTTTTGCTATTATCGAAGTTAATGATAGCCTACTTAACGAATCTTCCCTTGATGAATTGCATTTTAAACTGGACGAAACGGAAATGGACGAATCGGAAATTATTAATAGAATGCTAGAGGCATCCTTTGATGAGTTAGACGAATTAGAACTTAAGGAATCAGAACTTGACGAAAGTAAACTTGACGAACCGATACTTAACCAAAGTCAATTCAACGAAACTTATAATGAGCTAGATAGCATCGATTTGGATGCCACAGAACTAAACGCGACAGGACTTAACGAAATCTCTTACGATCAGTTGGATGAACTAGAACTCGACGAAAGCGACTCTGTAATGCCGTTCACACGCCGCAAAAGCATCGTTTACGAAACCCCACAACTCAACCTGAGCATTTCCGAGCTGAAAGTGAATTACGAAACGCAAGTGGAGCAAGAAATTAAATCAGAACCACTCGACGAAGCCATCAAAACGATTGACAATGATGATGAGGATACGAAAAAAGGGCAGGAAGGCAGTAAGGCGAATGCAGATGGATCTGAAGGCAATGTAACTGAGACCCAGACACATCGTCGCAAAGGACTTCCGGCGAATCCCGCTAACGATGGTGAACAGCCGACCACCAGCTGCAAGGCTCTTTCCGTTTTTGGCGAGGTGCGAACTGTGGCACCACTATTGCCACTACTGCCACCACAGGCGGCACAGGGTGCAGCTGCGGCGGTTGGCGGTGGTGCAACCCGAGGTGGTTGGACTACACTCGAGCACGTATTTGTCGCCTGCACCGTGGGCCTGATTACGCCGAACGATTTGCTCACTTTGTGCCTGATCGTAATTGGTGTGATTATCATTATTGCAATTGCGCTCACCTGAGCAAGCCGTTTATGGCCTGATTGTTGTTGCTGTTATATTGTTTGTTGTAATTATGGAGAAACTGGCGAGAAAGAAAATTATGATTTTTTTTTGTATGAATTAGCCAGCAAGTGCACTTCATATTTCCACTTAACGTAAATTAGACATATAGGATGAGAAATATATATATGTACATTTACTTATAATTTAGCTTTTATTTCCAAGAACCAAAAGTATTCTCAACTTCTATTCTAAGTGCAATTTATGTTATACGAAACGAAACCTATGTTTATTCTATTTTTTGGAGAACCACTGTGCAATTGCAAACGAAATTATACCCATTCATCAATGCTCTCTAACCGTGGACAAATAATGAAGTTATTTAACACAGTTTTCTCGTTTTTCTTCCTTATTAATTGTTAATTTGACTGCAACTTGTGCCAATGATTTTTATACGTTTACTTAATTATGCTCTATTAATTAATCAATTAAATACTTAAACCACATTATGTACTCCCCCAAAATAATTGTTAAGCACATAAACGAAATATTCGAAAATGATTTACCAACGAACTAAAGAATTTCACATTTACCATCTACTAATGATAAAATATTTTCTAAAATCTCTTTGTATATTTTCAGCTCAAAATTTACTAGTTTAAGTTTGACAGCGAACCATTTTCTTACGTAGCATTCATTATTTCGCTATTATTTAAATGTTTAAATTTACCAGACAAATGGAAGCAGAAGTCATGAAGCGAATAAAACTTATATTATTAATAAAATGTTATTTAAAAAACGATCGTCGATACTTTAAAGTTTTTATTTTAGTTTCCTTCTCTGCGTTGCTTGTTGTTCATTTTTATTTGTGTGTAGTTTGGCTTTAATACCCCTCTCCTGATTGATTTTTTATTATTGACTAACAAATAAAAAATCCAAATTCGTAAATCGAAATTCGTAAATTTATTATATAAATGTTGTTGTTGCTGCCGCCGCAAAATTTATGGAGCATTGCTAAATTTTTTTATTTATCAAATATTTTTACAGAATTTAGATATGAACATGAACCTACAATTTATATTGGTAACAATTTTTTAAGAAATCTGTTTTATGTTGGTTTGTGTCTCTGCTGGAGAACTCTTTGCATGAAATTAAATCTTTTTCAGAGATAGATGGCGCACCATAAGTAATGTAGATTTGGTGTAAAATGCTTTGGAGTGTAACTTTCTTTCTTTGACTTTTATCTTTATTTACCAAATAATATATTTAAAATTAGAAAACTTATTTTGAAATATATGCGTCTTTATTCGGAAAGTATTCAACGTTGTTAGGAACTGTTGTCGATTTGTTATATTACTTATATAAATAGTCACGTAAACATGTAGCGAACAACAAATTAAGAAAAGGCCTTTTTTATAATTGAAGCAAAGCGAAGCAATAGATTTTTGCATTCTTATTAGTATTAAAGAATTAATTAAGCATGCATCTTTTCAGAAGTTTGACTTAACTTCTTTCTAAAAACTTTTAATGAACAACGAAAACCAAAATGCCTGAAATTCAAATAGAAACTCAGACCAGACAAAGTGAAATAAAAAACTTCGCAAAGGTAGAAACCAAACAACTTGCCTAACTTAAACTTAGTTGCAAATGCCAAACAAAAACCAATGAAAAAGTTAAACATTTTCAGAAAAAATTTGATCGTATAGATGGATGTGTACAGGATTCTGTTTACAATTCGTCTGTCTCGTGGGGTCACAGACTGACGGGCCTTAACCCCGAAATCCTGAAACGTATTTATTTTTCCTTTCTAAATAGAAAAAAGAAATAGCTTAAAGCGAAAAGTCGTCTTACGGCAATAAGAACAACAAAAAAAGGGGAAAATCGTGGCCTCAAAATGAAACCAATTCAAGGAGCTGCTCAAACTTTTCTTGCGGCTTCTCCTTCGGCTCATGATGTTGTGGCATAAAAAGGACATTCAACTGCTGGACCTGAGTTTGCTTAGGCATCTTATTGTTTTATACGGCTTGTGTTTGTCTCTTTTTTCTTAATTATGTTTGGCCTTTTTTGCCTAATGAGGCGTACGATTTCAACGGGTAATTTAAGCTAGGTTGGAAGTCTATGGCAAAGGAACGCCCTGGGAAATTCACTTTTTCCTTTTAAAAACTCTGCTTTCGATTCGTTTGGCGCCGTGGGATTTGGACCAAGATTTATGCCACCAATCTCTGCGGATTGTTGGCGTAATTGAAAATTGCCCAACGGAAGTGTTTACCCTCGACTTTAAGCAGCCAAATAATAAGGTTTTAAGTTAAGAACAATTTCCACAAAGAGTTCATTTACCTTACAAGTCGGGCGCATTGCTCTCGTTATACAAACACACACACAATTACTGGCACACACCAGGCTAAATAGCAATAAAAATGTCACCGGCTCTAATTTGTTTTTTGTCTACGCCGGGAACTCTCGGTTGGCAGCCAGCTCCAAGGACCTCAAAATGTGGTAAAGTAAGGCAGAAAGGAAAGGCTCGGCAGCAGAGCGCCATAAATAAACCAACCACATGGGTGTATATGTGTCCTGGAGTTCCTTTTCTGCATGTTTGCCTCCTTCTATCACTGAAATAATCATAACTCACTTAACCCCATTAAATGTGCACCCGGGAGGCCCAGCGGGCGTATGAGCGATATTCACTTGAAGTCAACCCCACCGGGGGGGCGTGTCCAAGTGGGCGGGTGGAACGGAGGCGGCAAACGCTTCATTGACAACCTTTTGTGCGGCCGCACTGTGCCCGATAATTACTATCAGCAGCGACAGGCGTTCCCCTTTTCGGCGTTACTCATTCGCCGCGTGGTACACCACAAAATTCGTAATCATGTGTGTAAAGGTACAGGCAAAAAAAAAGTGTACGAATTAAACTTTTTTTTCTAATAACGTAAAATATGAAATGGGTTTTCACTTTCCTAAAGAAAAAACTTCTTACAGTTATTGTGTTTATTAAATTAGCCAATAATATAATTCCAGCGAAATTGATTAGTTTTAAACAAGAAAATTATTGTTTAAATATTGAGAAAATTGGAAAAAAAGAGTCATATAAATATCCAATATTCAGGGACAAAATAAGACTAAATTGTAAAAACCTTTTTAAAAAATTATTTATTAGTTCACATTATAGATTATAGAATAAATTAAATTTTTAAATAAATTACAAAGTTTGGGAGAGTTTAAATATTGGTT